TCAACTCTGGCGCTTCTGATTGTATTCAATTGGCAAAAGATAAGAGTATCTTTTGGACATTCCAGAAAGTGAGGTATAGTTTGCTTATTTACTGATCAGAAAAAAAATGCATCATAAATCTACTCAATTTTCCGAACACTTCCACGAATGGGAGCAGATTGATTTAAAAAGCTCATATTTTAGAAATGGCACCTAGACGAACACATAGTAAACTTATAGAAAATATAGATTGGGATAGCCGGATAGGTAACTGAATAATTAGTGTTAGTAGCAAGTATTCTTGAGAAATAAAAGTGAATCTTATGCGTATCACATTCTTCTTTAAAATCTAAAATTTAAAGGATATTTAGTTATATAAACTCCAGAGCTTCTAACTTATATTTTTGTTAAGAGATTTGCCGTCTGCAGAGCTCCGCAAGTTGCTCAGCAACTGGGAAGTGCTTACCAGAGGCGTAACAGAGGTACAAATATATATTTTACTTCCCCATATTAGGAACACCCATTATTCTTTTTGCTTCTGCTTATAATCCTGAAACTATAATTTTCATTCATAGCATCTAGCTGTTTAAGTTCCACCATTCTTTGACAATAGTAATGCGGCTACTCTTACTTGGTTATCTTATTTGCCAAAAAATGTTCTAATACCATAAGTATTGTCAGCATCATGTTGATCGATCATCTAATTTTCCAGAACCATCATTATTTATCAGTTGAATGTTTGCATTTTTTTGTTCATTATAACTAATTGGGTCCATATATCTTTTGATATGACTCCAGTCCGTATTCTTATTGTTTTTTTTTTTTTCATTTCTTTTTCATTTTTTACCATTTTGTCTATGAGGTTGATCTTTTTGTAGCATTTTCCAAATTATGATGGCCCAAGTAAAATTGTTAATTCATTTTTTATCTCGGATTTTCCTGCTTGAGCAATAATAAATGCAGATTCATGACAAAGTGAAGGAGCTAGAGTCACTGACAACAATTGAGGACACTCGTCCAAAGAGGGAGCCAAAAGAGTCATCCAGGTATCTTTTCACTTCCCTTCCCTTGTCTGTATTTTACTCCTGGTCTATACATCCCATTTATGTGAGACCCTGATACTGGTTCTTTAGTATGTGGTAGTCACAGTGGACCACATTATCAGCTTAGTAGAATCAGTTAAGTTTTACTTTTTGTTTGTCACAGGAGGCCCACAGCCAGGAATTACATAAACGAGCATAAAGAAAGATCCGCAGCCAACGAGAAAGTTGTTACATTTCTACAGTGTTTGGTCAGGTAAGAGTTTAACAATATACCCAAAACCTGTTTATAACATGCAAATTATATTCTGGGTGTCATTATGTTCAATTGTCACAACCTTAAACTGGGGATTTTCTTATGTAAAATAATAAAATATTGATGGTACACTCGATCATTTTCCGAATGCATCATTTTACCTGCACTATAAACTTGTAAAAAACAATGTTGCGGCATAAGTGCCAAATGTATATAAATAGAAAGGTGAAATTCCAGTTGTCACAACAAAAAGCTCGAGTACTAACGTAACTGAAGATTCAAGTCAAATTCTTAAAAGTTCAACTTTTTTGTTTTCCAGTAAAAATTTCACCTAGCACTTACACCTTCTCTGTATTCCCAAGTGAATGGATAGTCTTTCCTACATTGTGCTGTATCATAGTTTCATCAAGTGCTTGAATTTAGTAATATCTGTATTATCTGTTTGTGTTCTATCAAACAACTAATTTACTTGTTTCCTTTTGTGCCCTTGAATCAGGCAATACATCCAGCCCACTGAAAATCTACCACTCAATGAAATAGTGTTCTTCGATAATATCGACAAACTTCAAACAGTTGCGTTTTCTACAAAACCCTCTGGTTCCATAATCATTGAGCAAAGCAGCTTATAAAGCTTCTTAATTTGCACATATAATCTGTTCTTATATATAATATAACAGGCTTTGATAGGAGACCCTAGAAGAAAAATACAAGCCGACCTCTTAGAGTCGAACAAGTTACTAAAGTGTTCTTGCTGCAGCAAAAACTACGGTGGGCCAGTACCGTCCATGCACGATACATCTATAATGTAGGTCGAGCATGTCTTCCCTTTGAACATTTATATTTTCTTATAACAGTTTTGATGACATGTCTTATCAAAACACTATTCAAACACTATTATTTTCTACAAATTTTGCCTTATGTAATCTAAATGTTATTTTGCTTGCATAGGTACACACTGGCTCAAGAGCACGGTGATCTCATCAATCTACACGAATGGTTTCACTCTTTCAAAGCAGTTGTTTCTCGCCCGCCCTCACAGGCAAAAAAGAGGTCGAAATCATCGCCATCACCTAAAAAACGAAAAGAATCGAACGAGCCTCAGAACAAAACCGATGCTTCAATTCAGTATCCTCCACTTTTCTCCTCGTATTTTTTTTCTTTCGTTTTTTTGTTCATCAGGTGCAATGCAAATGCTCTCAACTGTTTGTAACATAATCTGTATTTCTATATAAATGATCAAAAGTTGGAACTCCTTTAACTCCGAATGCTGTACAGAGCCGAATTTTGCAGGGCGGTTATCGAACTACAGATTACGGGCTTGATTCGAATGCCGAGCAAAAGGCGCCCGGATTACGTGCAGAGAGTGGCTTTTGGACTTTGACGAGCAAGAGATTGTACGAAGGTGTTATTGTTTCCTTTCATATTTTTTTTTTTCTCAGCAAGCTTATTCTTCTTAACTTTCTTTTTTATTTATTTATTAATAATTAATTTTTTTAATCTACTAGATTAATATTATAGTGGGCCTCGCCCCAACTACGAATGTTATGGGCTTATACTTCATCTCCAATTCCGCCAAAAGTTTTTCATCGCACCGGTTACTTCTAATTATATTATAATATTGTAATTATACACCTATTATATTAATATTTATAATTGTACTAAAATAAGTCTAAAGTATTGTCAATATACCTAAGGGTGACCGTTTAAATTAACTAAGATAATAATTGAAAGTTAAGATTTTACGGTGGCACACACCGCCCCACATTCACCGCAAAAAACCTCCTCTCATTGGTTTTCCCTTACTACTTAAAAATGGCGAAGACAAAAATCCCTCTCTCTACTTGAAAAAAACACCCGGTCAAGTTCCCGGCTTCTTAAGATCCATTCCAAAGTAAAACCCAAACTCATTCAGTAGAAACTCGATTTTGAGAGAAAAATGTACGAAGCCCGCCGGCAAGGCTAGAGTGGGAAAGCACATTTCAAAAAATGATTTTTCTCTCATAAATCTCAAAAATCTGTTCATTCAACAAACTAAACCAAAACAACAAGAAGTTAAATCTCAAGCAAATAATGAATGGATTCACCAGCACAGAGATCACATGAATCCTATAAAACAATACAAAAGTTTACTCAAACAAAAATCAACCTATTCATAAACACAAATAACAACTGTTGCCTCACACTAACAGATAAACAGAGAATCAAGCTCAACGTAATTAGCTTCAATGTCCTCAAACGACAACGTAACATTTTTCCCTATCAAAACTACACGTCGAGGCCTTGCCGACGATTAGAGCCCCGGGCGTTCAGACAAGTTGCTGCTTCTTCGGACTGTCACGGGTAATGGTTGCGGTGGGACGAACTACGGGTTGAGTGTAAGTTAACGGCATTGCAAATCAGTGTAAGTTAAAGAGGAAAAAAAATAAGGATAGAAATTTGAAGCCTTTTTGGATACTGCTTCATTTCATTAGGAGGCAAAATTAGATAATAGGAGAAAGAACAACCCTACGGCGTTGAATGCCTTCTTGTCGCTGGACGCCATCAGTTAAATTCATGTACGAAATAGAAGAACGAAAGAAAAGTGAGAGTAGGGTTAGTGAAGTGCGGAAGGTATTACCTGTTCCCATCTCCATCTCTAATCTTGCGTGTCCGGGAGTTCCGCTTCCGTGGAAAAAGCTGGCATATGTCTTTCTTACATTAAATAGAAAAAAATGGAAAATATAAAGGCATGAATTTGAAGAAAATTAGAAGGAGAAAGATAGAAAATCGATGCTTACACATAGTCTCGAACCAGGCCCTAAGCGTCTTCTACGACGGAGGCCTAGTTCTCAGATCTATAGTCCGGCGCTCTCAACTCCCTCTGATTCACTCGTCGAGAAAGATAGCGTCGTAAGCTTCATTGGCTGATTCACTTGGAGAGATAAATAGTGTCGCGGTGTCGCAGATTCTGATGAAACTCGATTTCTGAGAGAAAAATGTACCCTAACCCTAATTCGAAGCCCGCCGGCAAGGCTAGAGTGCGAAAGCACATTTCAAAAAATGATTTTTCTGTCATAAATCTCAAAAATCCGTTCATTCAACAAACTAAACCAGAACAAGAACTTAAATCAAGCACACAATGAATGGAATCACCAGCACAGAGATCACATCACATGAATCAAATCAACTGAATCCTATAGAACAATATTAGTTTACTCAAACAAAAAACAACCTTTCACGAGCCAGATTCAGATTCATAAACACAAATAACAACTGTTGCCTCACACATTAGCTTCAATGTCCTCAAACGACAGAAGTAACATTTTTCCCTATCAAAACTACACGTCGGTTTCCACACTTCAACTGTGACTATTCGGTGTGAGGGCTCATTTTTTAGGGCTTTTGGATTTCAAATTTAATCAAGCATTGTAGCGAGAAAGGACCGGTCGAGGCCTTGCCGACGATTAGAGCCCCGGGCGTTCTGCTGCTACTTCGGACTGTCACGGCTAATGGTTGCGATGGGACGTTCAAAGTGAACTACGGGGTTGAGTGCCTGAAATTCCTATCGTCGATTGAGCGACGGCACCATCGACCATAAGGACGATCTTCTAAACTGAGCTCCACGATTATCTGAAGTTGGAAATCTTCTTATCTGAAGTTGTATTTGTGTGTGTGTGTGTGTGTGTGTGCAGCGGTGAGGGGTGAATAGGAATCTGAAGGCGGCGAGGGTTTCGGCGGTGAGAGGTAAATAGTATTATGTATTTCGAAAATTGGATAGCAATTGCTGCTTTACCTGTTCCTAACCGACTTAGGAATACGATATATAATTGAATAAATAAAATAAAATTGCCTATTTCACCAAGGAAATGGTGATTAAATTGATGACTTTAGTCTTTCTTTATATATATATCAAAGCATGTGAGTTGGTTTTCATTAATCTATGGCACCCAAAACAATATTAATAACACTCATCTTCTTTGGATGTTGTAGTGTTGGCTTGTTATTTCTTTGTATTAAAGATTGTCTCCGCAACAAAAACGCAACTAAATCTGATATCGAGAAAGGCCAACAGACAGCAACCGTAGATATCACTAGCACGGTGTTTATGTGGTCGGGAGCAAATCTTGGGTCGGCAGCTTGTGGCGGTGGCCATGGCCACGGCCATAGTCACGGTAGCGGCTGCGGTAGCGGCATTTGTGGGTGATGAAAATACTTGATGCACTAATTAATGAGGTTGTAATATTTTCTTTACTAGTGTTTGTCATTGAGAATTTTTAATTCCATAGTTAGTAACTAGTTTCCTTATATGTAAAGGAGAGATAAATATATTAGTTTTCATGTTGCATCATGTACAAAGTGCTTGTCTTCTTGACGCTTCAACAATTTCAAAATTAGTGTTCTAGCGAGTCGTGAAATAATTTAGTAGTGGTCGAATAAACATTTAATTTCTTATGTTTTTATTTTGGCTGTTATCTGATGAGGGTTCAACTAACCCTCAGCCCCCCCCAGCCCAGGCAATCCTGGCTGCATGCTTGGTGGCCTTATGCTCAGGGTCACAGGTTCGAATCCTGGAGAGGGCAAAAACCACACTTGAGCAGTGTGGGAGGCCATGAGTCCACTGTGGTACTCATTCGAGTCGGTGGGTCCCCCGGGGCACGAGCCAGTCAGGGCCGCGGCTAGACTGGGCTCACCAGGCAGGGCCACGGCTAGCCTGGGCTGGGGGGGCTGAGGGTTAGTTGAACCCTCATCATTATCTATTCAACATACAACTTGAAATTCTTCGCCACGGCTAGCCCAATAGATTATTTTTTTTATTATTTTTTTTAATTAGGTGTACTTTCTTTATTATATTTATTATATTAATAAAAATGTATTAAGAATTGACAAAAAAACAATCAAATAAACTATCAAAGAAGACGTTCTTTACTGTATCCATTATATTTGAATTTAATTATTATTAAAAAAACAGAGAGAAACTCAATCTCTCACTCAATTGAGATTAAATCACTAAAACATGAAAAAAGAAGTTAGAGAAAACGTTGTATATACACTTATAAAGAAAATCATGAATAGAGAAAAATATGTTGTTAGTCTAACAATACACGAAACAATACGCGTTAAAATACAAACCTAAGAGGAACCACTCAAACTTATCACCAAATGCCTCTAAAAAAATCACCACACTTGTCTATGAAAGTCTTTAGTTTCTTCAAAAAATGAGAATAGCAATCTAGTTACCCAGTAATAAACAAACTGAAAATCAATCAACCAACATGTACTAAAATGAATATAGAAAAAGCAGTGAGGAAGGTGAAAAGGGTTTTAATACATTAAACCAACATTCATAATAAAAAGAAGATTTGTCTGGTGTTGATATGCGAAAATTGATTAACGTCACTGTATTTTTATATATAGAATTTCTGCATAATTGAATGAAGAAGAAGATGATGATAAATCTTTTTTCCCTTCTGATGGGGATGAGATCGCTATGGCCTTCATGAACAAATACGATCGCCTTTCGATTTAATATCATTTATTATCCGTATTTTTATTTTATTACCTATCATGCTTTTATTCTTTATTTAGTAGTTTTTAGTTTATTTGAGAAATAATTGTGTAGTTACCTAGCAGGTTAGGGAACTTGATCTCTTTTTATTCTTTGGCTTGTATCTTGGATCATTTGGTTGTTATTGAACACAAAATTATTTCTCTTGAGATTTTTATCTCGTTCCCTATTTCGTTCCATGCGCTACACCACATTCTGTCTGTTTTCTTTTATTTGAGATGTGAATGGACTCTAAATTTAACTGTTTGACTTGAGTGGACATTCAATTTTTGAGGATTCTTTCTGCGGCGGCTGCGTGGCATATGGGGAGTCAGAGAATTAATTCATGGTCATGCTGTGAGTTATTTGGAAGGAAACAGAGAGAGCTTGAAGGGATTGGAGAACTTTTCATCTGCTAACATAAAGCTGATTGTGGACTTAAGCATTTGAAGGAGTTTGATCTTTAATTTTATTTTTCTACTTTAATTGGAGAACATGATGAATATTTATTTTTGTTTTTACCATTTAGCTATGTGTAGCTAAACATTTGTTTCGGTTCTAGGGACGTTGAATTCTCGATGACTATGATCGATTAATGCAATTTTATTTTGTTGTACTCGTCGTATAAAATTGATTGTGTTATTCTAGTTTCATGTCATAATGTGTGATTTTTAATTTAGTTTGATCACCTAATTTAGGAATTACATGTTAATTGCTAGATTTGTGGCTTCGATCCGTAATTGTCGTTGTTCTATATTCGTTCGTAGCAACTAACAGTCGTATATTATTAGGGATAGCATAACACAAGTTACATGAACCGAGCTTATGTGTTTGTGGCTTAAATTGGTCTATTTTCC